GAGCCTCGTCTCAAAACGGTGTTAGACCAGAGGACGCCAAATGAGACGAGGCTCAAAAGAAAGTTGTCTCTGGTGTGGACCAATCAGTTTAAAAAACAATGCATATATTATGAGAGTGTGTTTTTGTTTGCATTCTGATCACAAGCATTGTGGTTAATGCAGACATGATTCCTCGTAAAAAGGTTTCAGTTTTGTTGCCAGAAAAAAGGGGGAAACCTATTCTTATAATGTGAACACAGATACATACACTTGTATGGGTGCAAATGTCTGCGTGTATTTTATATTACGTTTTTATTGAAACAACACTGTTAAATTACATGCCAACCGTGATTGCGTTTTTGAAAATTTTATATGTCTGGTTCACATGCTGGCCCATGTTCCTTTTTCGCCCAATTTCCTTTTTCAAAAATGTAACAACAGTCTCCATTACTAACAGAGAAATAAATTGCAAATATGTGCATTTGGTGAAAATGTAAATCTGACAACAAATGTGTATAGTACAGAATAGAGTGAGCATTTTCGTTGGCAGCACTGCACATGGATAGAAAACCCACGCCATATTTAAATTTGTATATCTTAGGACACTCAAAGAAATCCATCACGTAATGTTTGTCCAAGAAGGCGGAAAAAAACCCCATTAACAAACGCATTGACCTTTAACATCTAATAACGTGCACTGTATCACAGACGTACGGCGCCTCTTAAAAGAGACGTCGTGCTGCCAGCGGACCTGCCATGTCTCATACCTGAGTAAGTGCGTAGCTCATGCAAGATGTGACCTGCCAGGTAGCCGGGGTCTCGGCGCATCGCACCGCACACCCTGCAGCCGTCACTCAGCGCGGTATCTCGGTGTCAGCGTTTGCGCTGCCTCGCCACCTGTGCACCGCTAGACTTGCCAAAAACATACCCACACATGCACACACACACACACGTACGAACGAACGGCAGCTGTGGTGCCATTTTTGCACATTTTATTTACATTTGTCCAGCAAAATAAAGAAAAAACGTTAAATCATTTTTGGGAGGGAAAAAAAACTCCCTCCAAACTTTTGAAAAGCTAGAACCTGCTATTTAGGATTGTAGAGAGAACTTGCGAACATCGGAAAAGACTTTAAAATGACAAATAAGACCCAGTTGCTACATATGCCTACAAATATTATCAGGACACGCTTGAGAGCAGATAAAAACAAATGTTATTTTCTATGTCATTTCGGGTTGTACTGCATCTTCGTTTGCTAAAGAAGCGAAATACCTAATAACTCGCAGTACAACCAGAAACACATCAGAGCTATGAAGCACAACCATGAAAATCTACACAGTGGTACTACCCTATTATTATTATTTGCATGTTTATTGATCTAATCGGGAAATAGCCTATAGCTGTAAAACCTAATTTTGTTAATTGTATGCAGTATTGTGACATGCTTGATGATAAAATTAGATGAAATGCCTGATGTTCCACATCCAATTCCTGCCAACGAATGTAAAAGTCATACTTTTGGGAGCACCAAAATACACATTTTTGATTGCATATGTGCACATTTTTACCTGGATAGATTGGGTAACAGTACTGTGATTGACAGAGTACAGTATTCTATATTACGGTATTTGCAATATGTATTAATGGAACAGTTCAGACCATTTGCAAATAGATGAATAACAGTGCAGTATTTGAAGATGGAGTGATGAAATCAGCTTGTGGGTATTTGCTAAATGGACTGCTGCGACGCAGGACCATGGTGTGAAAAATTGAAATGCCTCAAGGAGGCCTTCATCTAGCAGCGGATTGAGCATGGCTAATAATGACGATGACAGTATTTTACTTTGCATTTTAAACTATTGCACTCAGCGGCACAGGAAGGTGTGGTTTTGTATAAACGGCTTTTGCGTGCTCTGTGACCGAAGCTCAGAAGGTCTACTTCTTGTTTCATTTGAGTTGGGTGGAAAGTTGTTTTTGCTTTGTTAATTTGTGTGATCTTGCGCTCCATTTAAAAGCACTAAGACTTCCAGAAGAAATACATTCCTGAAAGACGAAAATCTACATTTCATGATGCTTAATATGGTGACAATACGAAATTAATGTGAACATGTGGAATTATCATAATGAGGACAACTTCAGTTGTCGTGGTAGTAATGACTGTAAGAAAAATAAACTGACCTTCGATGCCCCATGTTAAAAGTATCCTCCTACAAGCACACCGCCAATTAAGTTGACAAGAAATGATCAAAATCACGATGATTACGATGATAATGATGGCAATCACCATGGCCTCGATTACAGTAATAATAGCAATGGTTAGGCAATTCCCCATTGCAAATTGTCAGTCCGCGAACGCTGTCACACTCAGTCAGGTGCGTCTGTGTGCCTGCGCTCTGTTTCCCCGTTGCCAGGAGGCGGTGCAACAACCACTGACAGATTTAAGGACACAGCAACGCACTGGATTATGCAGGCAGGGAAGGCTGTCAGCTCACTCATTTCTTGAGAACAGATCACTTTGTTAAAATCGATGTTAACTAAACACACTACGTTGATGAGATTGTGAGATTGGGATGGCATGCTGAAAATAACAAAAATGTTACCTTCATATTGTGAAGATTCTGTTGCTATGGGTGAAGAATGGTCTGGGGTTTTTGCTCTTGGATAAGGTTAGGATAGGAATGCCTCGTGTCAGGTCAATACAATTTAAAATATCTGCTCGAGAATTAAACCAAGCCACTCCAACAAAAACATTTTTGTTCATTGTTGATTGCCTTGACATTAAATGTTATGAACGGGATCCCGTTTAAAAGGCATTTGAAGAAGAAACGTAGACTACATAACATGTTTAATCGCTTCATATTGACAATGACTAAACACTCAAAAGGAACTGCATTTTAATGTTACTATGATCCCATTTCACCACACAAATGTCAAACAAAACGTTGTCAATGAAATTCAATAAGACTATCATAATAACATAAAGGACTTCACTGACTTTTACATAACAAAGTAGAACAAAATAAATGTGATTATCAATTACTCTTGCAATGTTTGTACTGACTATTTTTTAACATATGACATTGAAATGTTTTACATTTCACAATATAAGCAAGGTTCGTATGACAAAGTACATATAAACTAATACAACCAGCAAATACCGTAATGATAATACTGTATAGAATATGTTTTGGTTTATCCTGAAAGTGTACCCGAGTTCGAGAATAGTTTTCATTGGATATTTGACTAAATTTGGCAAAATAAAAAATATGAGAAAGGTCAAGCACTGAAAAAAAAATCCATACATGTTAAGATTTTACTGGTTTTTAGACACCTGCTTAAACACCTAGTTTTATAGTCAAGTGCGCATACGGTACGCACACACACACGCACACGTTATTTAAGTAGTCTCTTTTTTGTTATCCGTGTCGCGTAATTTATGACATGTTTGATTTGCTCCTTGCAGGGGATGAAGTGGAAAGTGATTGCATAAGAATGCAATGTGGGCTACACCTGTTGTTATGGCAAGGTAAACAGCGAGGTTTAGGAGCTGGCAAGTTGACTGGCCAAGCTGATCATGCATAGCAGAGACTGCCCAGTTGTTTATATTGCTCCGAACACGTCTCAGTCCGCCATCTGCGACTGCGTCAAGAAGTTTATAACAGGTGCTGCTTCCACGTGCCGCTCGGGACCCAGGTCAGGAGATCCTTAGGTTTCAGTGAAAGTGCCCTAAGGGCTTGGAAGGCCAAAATGATAAGTATTTATAATGAGACGGGCAAGATTGTACTGTTGTTTACACAATTTTTCTCTTTTTCAAAACAGTCACAGTAGTGTATGCCAGATGTTTGCTTAATAAGGTCCAATCGTGTACACTTAGTTTCCTCGCATATGTGTTAAGCATTTGAAAGGTTAAGGTACAGCCCTGCAATTACGTTTGATCACTGCTGTTAGAAGGGCCTGAACTAGAGATAATTATAGAGTCCAACTCGAGGGTACTTTGGTCTGCTCTATCACGCTGGCAGATGTCCTGTAAGAGGTGGCGGTACCCGCACTTTACCCCACCACACATGACCTGACAATCAACTGTGGTGTCTTTGTCCTTTGGATGGACTCGTCCTTGTTCATAGGCATGGGGAATTTCCACCGCGAGCTCAGCTGTGAACACGAAAATGAGCACCACCTGAATACTCAAGTAGTGAGCAGGACATCACTTGTAGACTCATAATAATGGCAAAGTGTGAATTGTAATCGTGCTTGATTAGCCTAAAAACAGCAGAGGGTCATGGGCCTTTTTCATGAGGGTCTTGCCAAGTTTATACAGTTAAAATGGGGGGGGGGGGGATGATTGCTTTATTGCAATTTTGAAAACTCGGCAAATTTGGACCATGACTCCCAACACGCAGTGGCCTACTCTCCAGAACGACGCCACCGACTCTTCAACGTCCACGACGCTAAAACACACCCGCGGGAACAACCACGGCATCGGCTGGATACAAAGGGGCCGTTCATAAATGACGTCACGCGATTTTGGACGATTTTTGACCCCCCCTCACATATGACGTCACAAAGCTCTGACCCCCCCAAAAAACATGCTTCAAATCGCTTTAAACTATTGTCATTGTAGTGCGTATTTAATGTGGCGCTGCACTCTGATGTTGTAGGAGAAAACATTTATTAAAACATCTAATGAAGTAGAACGTGTTGTCTATATTCATTTAAAGTTGTGCCTTTTTTCATGTGACGTCACAAACGTCGGACACGTGCTCGCGGCCAAACCACGTCACCGAGACCTCGTCAATAAAACACGTCAAGCAATTTGCTTGCGAAGCAATCCATCGTCCGCATTCTCATATCGTGGATTGTCAAAGCATCGATAAAGCATCAATAAAGCATCGATAAAGCATCGATTGCAGCGGATCCTTCCCGATGCTGGATTCTGTCTGGAATCGCGACATTTTAAAACTGACGCGCGCCGTTCCCGGCAGCCACCGCGCACGGTCGCCGCCGCGGTGACGTCACCTAGCAACGTCTCCATGGTAACGACGCGTCGCCCACACGCCTGCAGGCCCGCGACTCGTGGCGGAGTGAGCCGACGCGGCGACTTGACGAGATTACCAAGTTTTAAAATTAGTTGTTTTATTGTTAAGGAGAACAAGAAGAACGGGCACGAAATGATTCCCCCGGCAGACTCACTCGTCAAATACGACAACCCGCTGCTGGTGTCGAAAAACACCGAGAAAAAGACGCCGAGGGTAAGAGCGAGGAACCCTAAGAAACGGAGCGCTTCAAGTTTAACTTCGCTTATCAAGTTCGATGTGGGGGTTTTTTTAAACGAAACATACATTTTGTGTACAAGATGTGTGCGCTGTTATTAAGTGTTTTTTTTGCCCTCGCTTTGCTGTTTTGAGCGGTGATGTTTGAAGACATCGTTACCTGTCAACCCATACGGTTCAACGGTATTCTTGTACATGGAAATTGAGTTTAAAACAACATCATTTTTTAGTCTATTTGTTTGTGTTTCTACTTTGTGATGGGTCTTTGCATGCAGAAAGAGATGCAGATAGCAATATACACAAAGAGAGATGTGGAAAGAAACATACATGAATAACTGGATCACTTTTAGTTGATAAAATAAAGTTTACGATAAAAATGAACTTTCAAGGTCCTCAAAATACTGTCATTATTTAAGTAACAAAAGTTGGGAAATCCTGGGTTAAGGGCATTGATATTGTTTGTCTCTGCTTTCCTGCATCAGCCAAATAACATGATCTTTACCTGGTAACTACGAGTGTGTACATGCCAATATAGCATTGCAAAGTATTTCACATATATTGATCAATTATATCACTGTCAAGCATTTACTTATTGTAATTTATACCTATTTTTACCCGTACAATGATGCATTTACTCTAATGGGATTTTGTTTAACGTGTGATGTATAAGGACGCAAATACAGACCTAATTGTTTACTGTAATTGGAGACCCAATATCTCCCTAGGGAAGTTAGCGTTTGATAATTATCAGCGGAAATAGTGTTTTATTTCTAGTATATACATTTCATCTGTTACTTCCTTAATGTTGCAGGAATATTATAGTCCACATTTCCATCGACACATATCTAACATATGTTTTGTAAGCATTCATTTCTAATGGCAGCCTTTTGTTGATTTGTGTTGTTTTTTTAACAAGGCTCATCCGAATAAAGTCAATCCACAGCAACCAATAAACACCGGACCCGTTCCCAGCCCACCCAAGGGAAAATCCCCTGCTGCGGATTCGACAAGAGACCAGACTGATGAAATATTGAATGCAATCCTCCCTCCAAGGTGTTTTCTTCAATATTCAAAGCCAATTGATAACATCTTAGTTCACTATACCATATTAAGTTGTTTAAAGGTTATCCGTCTTCGTCAAAGTAGCTTTGATTGATTGTGATAATTTATATCGTGGTAAAATATGAAACGAGACAGTAAAATTGGAATGTCACAATATGTAAGTGCACAATGCGAAGTGGTTTTGTATTGAAAATCTATTAAATAATGAAAATTTAAGTCAAGCAAAAGTCACATAAATGTTATTGTTACTGTATGTATATCTGTTTCAGCTGTTTGTACTTAGAAAATGTGTGTGAGGACTGTAGATATTAGAAAAAACGTGTTACACGTGGACTCCATTATTTTATCAACTGTTGAGCAATGTAGACAGCCTAAATTTGCTTCTTTTGTTGGGTACGGCTTTTCTTTACAAGTCTCATTCATTACAGTTCATTCAAGTTAACATGTTTCCAAACTGCAGGTGCTGAAATCCCATATACCCAACATTTTGTGTTTACCAAACTGTTGGTGGATCAAAATCACATCTCATTGACAAGTGAAAGACACGGATACTTAAAAGTAGAAACTTGCACCATGAGGTAAGGGAGTGTCGTAGAATGTAGTACACAAGACTTAGATTTGGAAAGCTCTGGCTTAATTGGTTGCTGCTGGGCTACTGGTGCAGGGAGATCACGGAGGATGGACAGCTGTGGGTGCAGCAGGTGTCAAGCACGCCGGCCACCCGCCTCGACGTGGTAAAACTTCAGGAGCAGCTGGATGTCCGCTTGCAGCAGCGACAGGCACGCGAGACCGGCATTTGCCCTGTCCGCCGAGAGCTCTACTCGCAGTGTTTCGGTATGCTTATTAAACTCTTATTACATTATGATTACATGCCAGCCTCTCACCTAAGACAACTTCAGAGTGCATGCTAAAATGAGTACGAAAAAATTCTCTCGACTTTGTGCATTAACTCATGTTTAAGTGTATGATCGGCCACAGGCTATATAATGCCTTCGAACTAATGGCAACAACTTGGCTCTCCATTAACCTAAACTTAGAAATCTACAACCGGGCTTGACCCTATCCAGGACCTCATGAAGTGCTATGGAACGCACAGAAAATTCTGTAACTACTCTAAACCAAAAACCTTAATCCTTACTATAATAATCAAAACATCAGTCGGGTACCAGCCACCCCATCTGTTGAGACATTGTGCTTTCCTTTGCCTTGTTTGGTTGCAAACCGTGATGAACTGAGTCACCTCTAAGTGCAAGCCTTGCACCATGGAACTTGGCCCAATATCGGCCAAATGCCCATCATTAAATACTAATTCTCAGACGAGGAACAGTGGTCACATAATTAGTTCCTTAAGTGCTTTGATGGGAAATGTGTTGTTTTCATACCTATCTTGTGCAGTCATTCCAAAAATAGGTATCCCAAACATCAATCACGTACACTTGCATGACATTGAGTTGAGCTGCACTAAAACAGCCATTAAAATATTATGCAGTGCATGAATAAATGATGTCATTTTCATATTTCATTATATAAATATTACAGTTGAAAATACAAATAATATAAGCACCGAACTTTACCTCGGAATTAATTTTGAGTTGAGTCACTTGGCTGAACGTTTTAAGATCTCAATAAAATAACTGCTTCATAAACGCTTTCCTAGGATAATACACAGATAATGTAACTGATATCAGCAAATCAACCAACACATATGCTTAATGGATGTTTTTCCTGGCTCCACGTGTCTTCAGAATGTCTTCCGTAAACAATTGGTGAGCTGATATTCTTTTGACAGTTCCGCTCCAAAATATTCATGCGAGCATTCCTAATGTGTAACCTGTGGTCCAACCTATGTTTGTTTTTCAATGTACGCATGTGATGGATGACATGACAGAGCGAAAGTGGCAGACTTATGAATAATGTGCTGCTTAAACCAAGACTAATTTCAAACAAATTGATCTGGAAAGTATGTTACGAGTTTACACAATGCAAACCTCACAACAGCCATATGTGAATGTTGTAATGGGTGATATTTAAACGGAAAAAAATCAAACAGTTATTAACATCCCTTTTTAAGTGTGGGGAATTTTGAGGGCTTGCTGTCAACAATCACTATTCTTTTCCATTGTGACGGAAAACAGAAAGAAGGTGTTTTAACTTGGACGGACATATGGTAGCTGCATTAGTACATGTGGCATGAATTCTAGCCTTGTATACATTAGCTGTGCCATTATGTACTTTTACGTATTCATGAGAATTCTCAGGAAGGAACAAAAGTTAAACAAACTTTAATAATTACACACAGAGGTAGACCAAGCAAGATACCATGGGCAAATGTGGACTTTTGAAGCTTATGCAGGTGTCGGCTACAAGCTGATCCCAAGCAAGTGTATACCCCTGATCTATAGGTTTATGCCAAACAAGTTAATTTCCTTCCCATACTTTCTCCATCCCTCCATCTACAAATGTATGTATCCATGTGTATCTCATAAATCTTCTAAACATGAGGCTTAGAGTTACAAAAAACAACCAACCAAAGGTAACATTCCAACTGAGGTTGTGCCTCACAGGAAATTAGGCTCGGTGCACATGCAGATTTTAAACTAAATATTTTTAAACTTGCTCGATGCAAGTTCATGCAGATGCGTCTAGCATGGATTCAGCCTCCTGAGAACTCGCAAGCTCAACGGTGGCCTGCGATTGCACCACAGATAGCCTGCACTCGTTCTTCTCCAATTGCATAGCACACACATAATCACAGTACCACCAGCACAGCTCCATGCAAGCAGGGTGATACTGCCTCAGGTTCACTTGGGAACTAAAACACTCATTTAAGTCCCTTTTTTTAATTGCTTTAACTCCAATACATGATCAGAGATTTTCTGCATTCCTTGCTCATCTATGATTCCACATATTTTTTAAAGAACGCACGCAGTGATTTCAAGGGCAATTTTATGTTAATAATAATAATAAACTGTAACACGCACATATTTAGCAAAGTGCACAAATTAAGATTTGATCATGACTCGGAGGCACAGAGCCAGATTTAGAGTTCCTTGTTTGCTCATCAGAACAGATGTGTCTTAAGCTGATTAATGAGAGGGTATGGAGCTTGGAATCTGCCTATGCAGTTTTCTTGCATACAACCTAAAATACAGTATGAATCAACTATTGGCTCATTCATTTTAGTTCACCTGATGTGTATCTTGTTTTCAAAGCCCTTCAATTTATATTGCCTCCTTTGTTCAGAAAATAAACTTATTATGGGTCTTTGAGCCAGATACCATAGTTTAACGTAAATATGACGTGCTTTTTTATTGCTGAATTCTGACATCGTTGTGACAACAACCAAAGATTTATCTTTAAATTAATACTCTTTGGTTCTTTCGGTAAAGTCACGTAGGTATAAAATAAAATAAATCACGACGTTTCGGGCGCAACACAAGCGTCCGTCATCAGGTGACCGAAAGAACCAAAGAGTATGGATTCCTGCAGTCACGAAAGCTTCAAATCAACTTTAAATTCATGTTTTAAATAAAATGTACTTTATGTGTATTATTTTTCTAGTTACATTTTAGATTTACTCTTCCAAGGGAGAAGAACTATGGTATGTCATGTGTTACTCGGTATGCATCTTATATATGAGCATGCATATATGCAATTTATTGCACACAAAAGCGATATACACTTCAGTTTAACCTGGATAAACACAAACAGTAATGTACACATTAGCATTTAATATAGCCTTAATTATATGGCCACCATGCAATGTATTTAAACAATAGGCCTATCAATATGCCACTGCATAACGGTTGATAATTATACACACTCAGTTTTATATCGGGTAATTTAGTGATCACATATTTCATTGCTGTGTTTTCAACCACACGAAATAGCAGTCCTAACAATCAAAAACATTGGCTTGTGCTTCCACATGGCACAACATCTGTCAAGGCTAAGTCTGGGGAAATCGCCTGAAAATCGGAGAACCCTGAACCTTCCGCCCCTGGTTTTCCTCCAGGGGACATCCACCCTGGTTGGCCTCCTCTGGCTCAGGACCCTCTGGGCCGTTTATGAGAACCACGGGGTTTAAAGGTTTAGGCTAATTTGGGCTCCCGTGCGAAGATGTAATTACTCGAGGGCCTGCTGCAGCGAAGATTGATCAAAGCGCAAGCTCGGCTGTCTGGATTATAATCATTCTGCTCCAGGGACATTGTGATACGCTGCTATTGTATGACTTTATAATGACTAATATCAGTCAAAATGCTTGAATGATACATGATCACTTCATTTTGTTTCCAAAGCACAATATGGTGCATTCTTACTGTGCATTTTACATTGGAAATTAATGAGCTGAGATGACGTGAAATTGAACTTTCTTATATTATTTCTAAACTTTTAATAAATATTACAACTAATCAGATGTTTCTATTCAGTGTTAATGCAGTTAATTGTCTGAATGTCTTCAGTTATTTAAATACATAATATTTATTACATTGATGCAGCACACATTTAAAACAACGTTTTTCTCTATTCTAAATACAGGATTTATCTTCACAAGTTAATAAATGCTTTTTTAGAGATGTTATTTACCAGTTGTATTACACTAGATCCATCAATACCTAGGATATCATGGCCATTAGTCATGCATTCTCAGTGACCATTAACCTCTAAAAGTGAGCGTTCTTGACACAAAAAAACAGGCTGGCATGCATATGAGGTATTTGCCATTTGACATCATCAAGATCACTTGCTGACAAATCCTGACCAGTCAGAATGACGTGGACAGAACATGAGTCATGAGTCTACAGATCTTTCTAGATCTTTCTAGTACAGAACATCTTCAGATACTGACAATAGGATCCTCGAAATCTCTATAAGGCACCTCAACATTACAATTCAAATCATTCACATCAACCACATAGTTAAACACTTAGCAGCAGTATGCCTTTCCGGCACTGTACATTGTATACGCTGCAAGTGAGCGTCTCAAGCTTTGGCAGAGCCTGCTAACAATAACCTCAGCAATGGGCATTCAGGCCATCCAAGCCCTATCATGAGCCCTGCCTTTTTGTTTACATGACATTCCTGGCTCCACACAGCCTTGGAAACCCCACAATTCCATATTCCTGCCAATCCCACAAATCGTATTTGATTCCTGCTCAGAATCATATTTGATTCCAATAATGGAATAGTGAAGAATCGTGAGAATCTCCTGGCTCTAGTTCTCGCCCCGACCTACAGGACAACTTCTCCCCCAACTCTATCATCATCATCATCTCATGCTGACCATGTGCCACAAGGTCCTTGAGTACTTAAGTCCTTTTATGCATAGAAATCCCAAACTGATGCCTCCATCACGGTACTCCTTAACCCTCCCTTAGGCGCATCCTTCACTCGTGTTGTTTGTCATTAATCATTCTCCACATTACCATTTCTTGCATTCTCTCACTTCCTGCAATGTCATTAAAATATCCTACAGCACAAAGCACTAATCTTGCCATAGTCAATTGAGTGCCCTATCAGTTTAACACGTAGGCTTTTGTGACCAATATCATCCATAATAGAGGTTTTTTGGGTTAGATCGCATAAATATTCTCTATTATGAATGCCCTATATTTGTTTTTATATCTCCTACATTCACACCTTGCTCCTCACATCCTTAATTATTAACTTATCTGGAATAATCAAGCACCCATTTGTCATCTACTCAATTGTCTGTTATTTTCTTTCATATCTACAATCTTATAAAAATGTTGTCTTTAATTATTACAGTTTTCTGTCCAACCCCTTGCCTCATTATATATTCTGATATCCTATTCCTACTTAACCTATCCAAATATTCCTATATAATGTATTGATGTAATTGTATGAATATGAACTATGTGTTTCAATCCAATTTACTTACCCATACTATTATGTCTATTTACTGCATTACTTCTTTCATGTTCATCCTCCTTTCATCTCCATACCTCATCACCCCAAACATTTTGCATCTCAATTAATTACAGTACTCAACCTTGTACTCTTAGATAATCTCACGCAGAAGTTCCACCACACGAGCACATATATACTGTTAAGAGTAGATTTCGGTGTGATTAGTCAATGAAGTTCATTATGCGATTAAAATTATAATCGACTAATTTTGATATCGATTACTCTGGGCCCTATTAAAATGGTGGCTGCCTACACACATCTTGCTTCTTGAAGGTAGGAAACCCCCTAGAAACCACGTGGTGCAACTGATGCTGCTGGTGACGTTCTTAAGCCATGCGGGTCACCTCCAAGTTCCTGTCGAGCGGCATACGTGGGAAGGGAAGCGAGGCTTGTTTCCCCAACTATGTTTGTGTTATCCGATTAGTTCGAACAATCAAACTGATAATCGGTAGAATAATCGGTTACTTAAGTATGGTAATTGAAAGCCCAGCTGTACTTAGATGCCATTTTTGTTCCACAGCTTATGGCCGAGGTATATATTTAACAGCTTGATCAGTGGCCGAGCTCATGTGAATCAAGCAAATGGGTTTCTTGTAGTGGCTTTTCTGTGATCCTTTTGATGGGAATTTACAGTATGCAATGTGTTTAGGGGGGTTAAAAATGTGTGTCGGGGTCAGAAAACGCACTGCAAAACAGGTGACCTAACACTGGAATGTGAATACTGTGCACACCGCAATGCGTGTTTTTGGTCCGTCCCCAGATGAGCTGATCCGGCAAGTGACCATTAACTGCGCAGAGAGGGGGCTACTGCTATTACGGGTGCGGGACGAGATTCGTATGACCATCGCTGCCTTCCAGACACTGTACGAGAGCAGCGTGGCATTTGGCATGCGCAAAGCATTGCAGGCTGAGCAGGGCAAAGCCGACATGGAAAAGAAGGTAGGTAGCACTGCATTGCATTGCAATCTACATTAGTAAAGCAGCAAATCCTACATTTCAGTACTTTAACAAGAGGCACCAGCTGCATATAATATATACCCATCTAAACTTACTGCATGTTGAAGAGCAGTATAAAGTAAATACCCATCAGGCTCTGATTTGCACACAAATGGTATATAATACCAACCTTAATTTCCTGCGTTAGAGACCACATATATGTATGTAACTAGCTAATCTCTCTCCATGCTATATACCACCGTAATAAAGACATCGCTGAAACTCTAACCCAGCATTGTAAATCACCTCAATTTGCATGATTCAATAATAAGTTAGTGCCTATAAACATTTGTGGCATTAAATGTCGCTGAATAGGAAAACACCTGTTTATGGATTTTGACACCTGCTTTTAATAATATGCACATTCAGTGATACGCACTCAGTATACACGGCCAATTGGTTCACAAGGATATGGCTATCTGCTGAATTACTGACTCAGGTAATGAGCCGACTGTCCATCTTCAGCATAATCAGCATTATTTTCTTCTGGTTGTAGGGAGATAAAAAGGTGAACTCAAAAATACCCTGATTGTTGTCCAATGTATGTTGAACTTCTTTCGCACTGTACATAACCAACCGTGCTAATCGGAGGTGCGGAGGAAGGACAACAAACTCAACAAACAAAAAACTGTTCAAAGTAAATGGGAATTTACATTTTATGGGTGTCTTTCATCTGGCGGCTTTTGGCTAGCCATTGAACAAAGACGGTCACCACATCGCGCGCTTTCAGATACACTTCTGCGGCCGTCTGGAATGTTCTTTCTTCGGATATTAGGAAGCCACGGGAGCTATGGACTCTTAAATCAAGACAGAAAACTCTTTTCTTTAGAACTGCTTTTTGTGTTCAGATTGTTGTCCTTCCCCTACACCCCCGATTAGCACAGTTGGCTACTTTTTGTGCGAAATAAATTCAACATACTATGCCTTTGTCAGCTGGTTGTAGGGCGAAAAGTGTGAACTCAAACATGATTGTTGTCCAACATTTTATATGTGTCTTTTATCCATATCTATAAATGTTGGTGGTGTCTAAACACCTAACGACACCCACAGTGGTTGCACGCCCTGACCTGCAGACCGTGCAGTGCCGATGAAAACGGGTGTATTCGTGCTTGGCCAGCGAAGACACTGGCCGTTGCTGCTCATCATGTGCACAGATTGCCGAGCTGGAGGAGGAAAAGCGCGAACTGGAACGCGCCGTCAATGAGCAGAAGGCCAAGTGTGAGGCGATCGAGAAACGCGAGGCTGAGCGACGGCAGGTGGACGAGAAGAAGCATGCGGAGGAAATCCAGTTCCTCAAGCGCACGAACCAGCAGCTCAAGGTACCGCGCAGGACACACGACAACACCCAGCCAGGCCACGGTCATGAAACTCCTCCCATGGTTATTAAGCACCTCCAATTAGCACGGTTGGCTACGTACTGGTGCGAAAGAGGTTCACCATACATACGTACATACATTCAATGATGCAATCGCTGCTACAGAGCCATCTTAGTTACACTAACACCAACCCCCATAGGCTAGCAACGAATCATACCAACAACTTCTCAGACATAGGCAATCCAGAGACAATCAATACAGGCCATATAAATAAATGTGTGAGGCACCTTCATGCAAGCATAAATATATGTTCATATATTAGTATACTTTATTACATTTGTAATGTTTATACATTACATAACCCATTTAAATACTCGTTAAGTTAATGCAGAACTACAGTTCCTCTATTTTCCTCGCATGAAATAGATGAAACAGTGTAATGTTACAGATATAATAAGCTTTCCGTCCACCAAATGCTCATAAAGTTCATTAGTCAATGTGCAAGCGTGTCTAAAATTAGACATTACAATAGAAATTAATCATTGAATTGCCATGCTTCCTGGACTTATCAAACTCGTTATACCGATTACTCTTGTTACATTTTTTTTTCACTCATTCCCAGATTGTAATGCCAGATGGCGGATTTCTTGATGCAAACTCAGCGCTGAACATTTGTTGCACAGGCATCATTGCATTGCCTTATTGGTAGTAATGCCTTTACATGGAAAATACATTCCTTAACATTAAGTAAAGTCACATCCAAATTGTTTAACAGTGCATGTTTGATACCTTTTGGGAGCAATTACTATAAGTTAGCACAAGCCATGTACACTTCTATTTTATAATTCTCAGAAGCACAGAAATGTAATACTTTATTTATTTTTATTACCCTAATTTTTTTGATCAACTATATTTTTTACTCTATGATCTAAACCAAAAATCAGACACATAAATGCTATTATAATGTCATATAAACCAGTATATAGCAAGGCTGAATTGTTTTTTGTTTTATTTTTTTCAGACCCAGCTTGAAGGAATTGTCACACCCAAAAAGTGAAGTGAGGAAACGTCCTTCTTTCTTAGTATTACAGTTTTTCTTACGGGAAACACAATATCTACACATGCAATCATTCCAAATGAATTATTCCTAATACTTTGTAACAGATTTCTTTTATCAAATAAAAATATCAACCATCTTTCAATTGTGTGACAGTACATTTTCATAAAAAAAAAACTCATTATTCTAAAGAGCAGTCGCAACTTACACGAATTGTTCATTGTGGGCTGTATTTATAGCAAAATTTTAGAAACAATATATTATACTGAATCTTTTTGAGGCATATTCCCACAGCTGTTTAGAATTGGATGGGTTCACATTTGTCTGAGCCAAGTCATGCATTCTTTACTTTGTAGCAACACATCTTCTTTAAGTTATGAGTTGGAGACACGCTTCTTCCATTTAAGTCATATTTTACATGCCACACAAGCTGCTTAAATGCATCATCATCAATAATGCATTATCATCACTGTTGTACAGTAGACTCAAATCAAAGGTAATGGACTCCCCTCAATCCAAGGTTGGACAGGTCAAAACCCAAGCAAGTGGCATGAAACAGAGAACAGTGTCTCTTTGGACATTGTTAATTTGGAGTGGGTTCTATTGTTTGTCTTCTGCTTAAAAAAAAGTTAATGATAAAATGGCAACATTTACAACAATATGATGTTTTCTGATAACAACCATGGAGTTCATATTCTTTTGGTCTTTCGGTATCGAAAGACCCTAAGAATATGAATTCCTGCAGTCACGAAAGCTTTCAAGATTTAACCATGGAGTTGTGTTAGTCAAAATGTATGGCAATGTCAGTATGATAACCAGTGACGTGTAGAGTGATGCGTATCAATCTAATTCTAGATTTGAAGTTTTCGTGACTGCAAGTATCTATACTCTTTGGTTCTTTCGGTAAAGTCACGTAGATGAAAAATAAAAATAATGATAAAAATTATGTAATGAAAATAAATAGCAAAATTTAGCTGTGGCAGTTCCACCTGATGACGGAAGCTTGTGTTGCCTCCGAAACGTCGTGATTTCAATGAGTTATTTTCATTTTATTATTATTATTTTTCATCTATGTGACTTTACTAGTTTCTATATTTCTTAACTTTCCAAAAAACAACGTAATATTTATATTATTATTTCATATTTATAATAAACCACTTTGCAACAGAGAAGTGATATTTTTTATATCTGTTTAAAAAAAGCAACAGTATACAATGTAATGCATAGCAAGAAGTGGCATTTGGTACAGAGGATTTGCTTCAGTTAAATGTAATTTTGAACAATTTAATATTTTGAACATTTCACAAGTTTTCATTTGTACCAAGAAAGTTGTAAAAATATGTTAATTGTCAGCCATTTGAGAAATTATGTCAATCTGCTCGTGGTTGTATTGGCCTTTAAAAGAAGTTCAACATTCATACTTACATAAAATGACTGCCCATTGTTAAGTATTCTTGAGAGGGACATTAAAAAAACACTCTTTGCATGTATTGTCCCATATGATGTGTTTACTATTAAAACACAAATTATATGTTTTAAACTTGGATATCTGAAATATTCCTGTAAGATTAAATATGTTAAACTATTGCTAAGGCCGAGCTCTAACTTATAGCAGCAAAAAGAGTGGCACCTAAAATCCCTCAATGAGATCAAAGGACACACTTTATTATGTATTAGCTCTTGCTAGATTGTTGGTGCATGATAATCAACTCATTTAATACTGAGCAGATGGCTTGCCATTCGCAATTAGCGTTGATGTAGGGCATGTGGAGCGTTGTTTCCAACAGGCATTGAAAAATGTCTTTCCTTTCCTCAAAGTAGCTCAATTTCGTGAATATTATACTCTCATACAAATCTCCCCAAGAAGTGATAAGCCACTGTGCTCATAAAACAAAACTTGTTTTTCTTTCATTGAGAACGCAACGTTGATTCCTACATTTTTTTGTACAAAACTTGCAATCGAATATGATACATGTGATGCTTACTTGGCAGCGCAAGGGTAGGTGCTGAAATGCGGTGACAGTGTAAATTCCTCGCCCGGTGGGATGGGGGCATTCCCACCGCGGACGTACGTGCGCGGCGCGGCACCGTGCAGGCTGCTGATGGATGTGTGCTCACACCTGCTCGCCCTCACGCCGACGAGCACCCGTCTTCGACCAGGGCTTCTACGTGCTGGGAACCACAGCCGGCTCTAAGCCACGTGGAATGAGAAAAATGAAAACTGTGGTCCCGCCTTTATCACTGGCTGCAGCCAGATTGTCTTGGCATCATCGGACGGCAGACGCTGACCTCGTCTTACATTCCCATATTTCTGTAAGCTCTTGCACTTTTTTTAATCCTTTTTGTGTTTTTACATAAAATCCCCTACATAAATGGACGAAAGGTCTATTTCAAAACTGCTTTGCTTCATCGACTCGACAACCTGCAGGCATACCACCGTTACTCGACTGTTCACCTTGAATTAAAACGAAAGATGATCCTGTGCAAACTCATTCCTTCGTTTGACAGTTGTACCAAATAATTTAAGTTGTTTGCGAAATGGCAACCAATGAAGTAAAGTACCTCTGCAGTAAGAGTGTTACATAAGCCACGGGATAAAATTAAAACGTGATTTTTTTTTAAGGATCAAATAAAATGTTTAGCCTGTAAAGCTCAAGTCCAATGCATTAAGTTGGGAATGTGCATCGACTATCCCTTTAATAACCCCTGTGTGTGTGTGTTCAATTAAATCAATGTCAAACATGCTCCTCGATGTGTGTAATGTTATAAAGGGTTCTGCTTGGACCAAAATAAGCTCTTTGTGGTTGAAAATCCTGACACTGGAAGCCTGCAAATTGACCACAATTACTGTAGCAGCTCAGGAATAGCCTCACATCTGCCAGGAACAGGATAGCAATGCAACAAAACGCTTTGACCCCAAAATGATCCAATTCAATGGTGGTTCATTTTTCCAACAATTATACAATTCACGGGTAATCTAAGAAAAGTAATTTTACCATTATGAAATTTTGCAGAATTTTAAGCATATGTGTGGGATAAACCTTAAGCTCCTCATGTATTAAACATACCCTCATTATGGGTCCTGCTGATTTTAAGTAAAGCTTGTCTGATAGCCATTTCCTTTATTTTGAGTTGAAGTACCAGTTATTGCATTCATCTCTTCCATAATTACAGTGGATTTAATTGTCAAGACTTCAAAAGCCTCTTAGACATAAAACCAAGTTTATTTTAATACCCATTTAAACTTAACATTTAAACGTAACAATACTTGCTTTATTACTTTGTTGGCTTCTCGCTATTACCTTGAGTGTGTGTCTGGATGCTGTCAACCGCTGAAGGGGCCTTGTGCCATCATATCATCGATTAAGCCATTCAGCATAAGAGGCAAACATTAAACATTTACAAACACATCAGTGCAAGCTGGCATGCGAGACCCACTATGGATTATCCGCTGACCATGCACTGCTTGAAAGTTTGTGCACGTTGAGACCAAAAGCTGAGTCGGTGTACAGTTAATAGAGCTTAGTTTAAGAGCAGCCTCTAGCAATACAAAAAAATTACCAATACAAAAAGTCGACTGCATAAACAAGATTCAGCAAGCGCGTGCTACCAGAAGAGGGGGATATTCTACAAAATTAAATAAATGTAGGTGTTTGTTTTCCGTGTTACATATTGCAGTAACAGTTATATTTAGTGATGTTGCAATAATATAAGCAATACATGAAGCAAATGACCCAGCCAATAAAATGTGAAATGCATCAGGACATTTTCTTCTTGTTCAATGTGTTATTTCAACAGCATTCACCTTGCCTGTCATGACACAATCATGGACAAAGATCATCCCTCAACACTACAGCTTCAAATGCCTTGGGCTACATTGAAGCATTGCTCTGCTTCATATTAGCTTCATTGCTCTGCTTTATTTTATGTTTCCGTTTTGTCATTTTGATGACCCAGGTTACTCTTGCAATGAGACGTGTCTGGATCTCTTGAGGTGTCACATGGTTAAACAACATACACTTTAACATATATTTTAAGTTTCATACGATGAGTATATTGCTATTATCTTCTTAAATCAATCTTGCAAACTGACTTGATTAATGGATGCTGTAATCTTGAAACTATAATTAGTAATCAGTTGTAGCTATAAATTGTCATACTACAACCATATACACTGGTTACCGACAATCCTTCGTGATAAGGATCACGTATAATTGTGGCCTTGACTTAAAGCACGAAACTTGGCACTCTTATTTAATAAAATTTTGAACGGAGTACATACACAACGATTGCAAAAGTGTACTCTTTGGTCCTTTCGGTAAACTCACGTAGGTATAAAATAAAATAAATCACGACGTTTCGATCGCAACACAAGCGGTCGTCTTCAGGCGGAAAAAATCGAATCCAGCAGTTCCACAGTTCCACTGCCCGATTATATTTTTCCGCCTGAGGACGAGCGCTTGTGTTGCATTCGAAACGTGATTTATTTTATTTTTTACCTACGTGACTTTACCGAAAGGACCAACGAGTATGGATTCCTGCAGTCACGAAAGCTTCAAATCAAGATTAATTGCAAAAGTGCTGACGCATCATCAGCGAGTCTATTCAGTCTCCGCGCGTCCTGTTCTTGATGATCGACCATTGACCCACGTTAGGTAGCCGTTTCAGAGTCGGACTTGTTTTTCAACCTGTCTGACATTCCTCTAGCGCAGGGGTCGGCAACCTACGGCTCCGGAGCCGCATGCGGCTCTTTACGGGCTGCTTCTTGACGATGAGTACGTATGTACTCAGATGCATTGCGGCTCTTGAAATACTGAATTTTGTACCGAATTGGAAATAAATGGCTCTTCTTGTTATTTTGGTTGCCGACCCCTGCTCTAGCGGCACCAATGGTTAGAATTTCATTAGCCCGCACTCCATCAAAGCGGAAGAAGGGGCAGTGTGTCAGTGTCCGATGATTCTTTGGAATTTGGATCCATTCAGACCCGATTTGTCCCCGCCGCGACACTGGCCCTTAAATCGCGCTTAATTACTTGTGGCGACAAAAGGGGAGCCACAATCATCTGTTACGAGAGCGTTCCCAGTGCGAGATCGCCGTCTCCAGGGCTACTCCCGTGAAAGTGCAAAGGTCACGTGAAGTCACGC